CAGAAATTTATTTCTGGCACTTTAAGAATGTAGTCAATAGCACAATGAACTCTTACATGCAAGCATTCTGACGGTTAGGGATAATTTTAAAAAACTCAAACATTTAGGACTCATTTTTCCAGCCTCTCTCTTGATTTTCTAGTCAAGTAGCAGAAAGCAAGTGTCCCGCTGCAAAGTCACTCAGCAGCAGAAACATAAGACATCTGTTAGGACTTCCTTTAAGAACACATGTTGTGTTTAGTTATTTAATGAAGGGGTTTATATTCCAAAATAAGGACCTTTAAATGTAAACTGGTAGATTTTTTTGTGAGGGGTTTTTTGTCTGTTTTTTTTTGTAGGTTTTTTGGTTGTTTTTTTGGGGGGGAAGGTGTTCATTTTTTGGTGTTTTTTTTTTTAAACACATCATTTCTGTTTAAAACAAATTTCTGAAGATTCCTTTTGAGTTTGCCCTTAAGTACCCTCAACAAAGTAATTAGCACAAGCACCCTGAGAGTGTATTTGCCTTACCTGTGAAAGCATGTGGCTTTGCCATTTTTTGCCATTTGCCAATATTACTCTGTTTCTTGTTAAGTTCAGTTTCTTCTACAGCAATGATCTCAGAGGTTGGTACAAAATTTTCTCCTGTATGAGCAGATCTTACATGTTAACATCTTAAAACAGCACCAGAATGATTATATCTACACATAACATGATACAAACATACAATTAGAGTAGCAGCGTAAGAAGCATAACCAAGAGTATAAGTTTACTGAATATTTTCTATTTCCTTTTGCCTTTAGTCAAAGCACACAATTCATAACCACCTATGAACTACCCCAAATGATATTTTAAATGTCCGTGATTTCTCAGAAAAATTAGGTGTTCTGAGACAAAAACCATTTTTGCATGAAGCCAAAATCCAGCAACATTGCCCTTTTCAGACTAATGAAACTGCCCCTCCAATGACGTCTAGTCCAGATATTTGACAGTGAATAGCACAAGCTACTTCAAAGAATGTCCAACTAAATCTAGTGCAGAGAGACGACAGAGGCTATTTGTTCTTCTCAAGTAAGTAGTTGGCTTATGAAAGAAGGGCATTCATATGAATTTTTAAGACTTTAAATCCCACTAAGCTTTTAAACTTCAGGATCTCCCAAGAAGCAAATTCTAGATGTTATGTTTATACACTGTTAAATATATTTCCCTTGTATCAACTTCAAAGCTATTGTTTTTCAGAATTAAAGACCTCTTACACTATGAACGAATGTCCTCCAGCCTCACTCTTTTTTTCTCTTATAGTTCCTCAACACTTTCTCAGTCTTTTTAACTCCTGTCAAATTGAGGATTTTCTCTCATTTTCACTACTGATTTCAAAATTTCTCTGCTTTTACCTTAACTCAAAGAAAAAAGTGGAACCGAAAATGCAGGCTTTGTATTTATGTGCAAGCAAGTGCTCTGTGTATATATACACACATATAAAACATTTAATTACATACAATTATATTATACTTGTTATGATATGAGATTATATTGTTATACTATACTAATTTCTGTCATAATAGATAGATATAGAGATATAAATATATTAAACACATAAAATACAAATACTAATACTGTTGCTGCTGGGTTTTATCCTACATTTCAGCTTCCTCGCTATTTTGCAGAACCACCATGGTGGTGGTGAGGAATGTAAAATAAGCAGAAAATTTTCCTTAGCTCTTCACAGTGGTGACTACAATTCATTTGCCACTAGTTCAATTTCTTTTTTTTTTTCCCCGACATATTGCTTTGTTTTAGTCAACAGAGGTGTTACCTATTGTCATGTCTATTGACATATTGTAGACTACACACACTAGTTTTTTTTTCCTTTATGGGTGTTTTAGTATTTCACTTGATTTATATTCCTTTAGGGATTTTATCTTCCCAGAGGTTTTTAGCTTGATTCCAAAGAAATGTAGCCTCCAAACTTTACACCGAGGTCTTTCAGGAATCTGGCTGTATTCAAACATTTTAACTACTTCCAAAACAAATTTTGGCACATAATAATTGCACTCACTATATTTAAGGTGCAATGGGGAAATGCAGCAGTCACAGAATGTCTTTACAAAGATCCAACAGCAGACATGAACTCACTAAAACACTTTACTTGTATACAGATATAGATACCACACATATACACGTAATACTATCAAGTATTTAATACTGGATGGTGGCAGTTAATTGATCTTCCTAACATTCAGGGGAAAGATCTGCTATGGGGTCTCGATATGATTATTCACCTATCCATTTATCCAAAAAAAAAATACAGAAGAGATGGAACAACAAATTAAGGGAAGGGAGCATGTTCTTTAACGTTTCTTTCCCAAAACTGCTTTTAGCTCTCATACTTCTAGTGGCTATGCCACCTATCCATAAGTCAGAATATGAAAGAAAGCTTGTTGCATTTATAAAGATTGCACTTAAGTGGCAACTCATTTTGGATGGGCTACACCCAACAGTGCTGAAAGAGTTGGCAGACGTGCTCGCCAAACCGCTTTCCATCATTTACAGGAAGTCATGGCTAACAGGGGAGGTCCCAATGGACTGGAGGGTGGCAAATGTAACACCCATCTACAAGAAAGGCACAAAGGAGGATCCAGGTAACTATAGACCTGTCAGTCTAACCTCGATACCAGGGAAGGTCATGGAGCAGGTCATTCTGAGTGCCATCAAAACCCACATAATAGGCAACCAGGGGATCAGGCCTAGTCAGCATGGGTTTATGGAAGGCAGGTCATGCCAGACGAACCTGATCTCCTTCTATGACAAGATAACCAGATTATTGGACGAGGGAAAGGCTGTTGATATTGTATACCTGGACTTTCAAAAAGCATTCAATACTGTCCCCCATACAATTCTTGTGGAAAAACTGGCTTCACGCGGCCTGGATGAGCGTATGATCCACTGGATCAAGCACTGGCTGACTGGAAGGTCACAAAGAGTGGTGCTCAATGGATTTAAATCCAGCTGGCAGCCAGTCACAAGTGGTGTGCCTCAGGGCTCAGTGCTGGGACATTTCTGTTTAACGTCTTTATTGATGATCTCGATAAGGACATAGGGTGTATCAT